GGGCGGCATCAAACGGATGGAGGTGAGGAAATCTCAAGGCTCAGGGGCTTCCCCCTGCAGCCCACCCAGGACACAGCCAAAAACCTCTCAGGGGTTTTTGATGCACAAACCTCTCCAGGTTTTTTTTGTGCACAAACCTCTCCAGGTTTTTGTGATGCACTAACCTCTCCAGGCTTTTTTGGTGCACAAACCTCTCCAGGCTTTTTTGGTGCACAAACCTCTCCAGGTTTTTGTGATGCACAAACCTCTCCAGGCTTTTTTGGTGCACAAACCTCTCCAGGTGTTTTTTTGTGCACAAACCTCTCCAGGTTTCTGTGGTGCACAAACCTCTCCAGGTTTTTTTTTGGTGCACAAACCTCTCCAGGCTTTTTTGGTGCACAAACATCTCCAGGTTTTTTTGGTGCACAAACCTCTCCAGGTTTTTGTGATGCACACACCTCTCCAGGTTTTTTTGGTGCATCTGAGTCCTGGCCATTTTTGTGTGGGAACATTTGAGAGCCAAAGATCGATTTCTGAAGTTTGGGACCATCTTTGTCCTCTAGTGCAGCAGCATCCTGGTCCCTGCCTGGGACACAGGGCAGCACTGCCATACAGTCACAAGGAAATTGTTTGAGTTTTCCTGAAAATCTTCCCCACTGCCACATTTCTCACAAACACCAGGAAGGAGAAGTTCAGACTTTGGGCTGCAGCGTGGGAACAAAGCTCAGAGCCTGTGCATTGCTCCTCAGCTTGGCTCTGGATGCTGGGGAAGCACGGGGGCTCCTGGTGTGTGATCCTGATCCCTCCTCCCAGGTGCGCTGGGGAGAAAAGGGCTCCACCGAGGAAGGTGCCAAGCTGGAGAAGGCCAAGAACGCCAGGGTGAAGATGCCAGAGCAGGAATACGAATTCCCCGAGCCCAGGAACCTCGGGAGCAGCATGCGCCGGCCCTCGTCCCCTCGCAAGTGGTACTCCCCCATCAAGGTGAGCCCAGCCCTGCCCGGGGGCACTGCAGATCTTCTTCTTCTGATGGATCTGTCCACAAAGCCCAAGCGCTGCTGGAGTGGCTGTGCCTGGGGAGGAGCCGTGTGGGGCACCAGGAGCTCCTCACCTGGGCAGGTTTGGAGTTGTGCTGCTGGGGAATGAGGATGTGCTCGTTCTCTGGAGGAAAACAGAGGTTTTGCTGCTCCAGGTGGTGCCCCAGGAGCCAGGAGCAGCCTCGTGCCTGGGCTCTCCTCGCTCCCTGACCTTGCAGCTGCCCCAGATCCAGGGCTGGGAACGGCAGCGACGCTCAGGGGAGCCCAGGTGTTTTCCAGAGGATCCAGAAACCTGAGCCTCCTGGAAAACCTGGTCCAGCACCTTCTCTCTTTCCCCCTGGAAAAAAAAATGTAACTCCAAAAGTGCCACCAGCAGGTCTCAGGAGCACTGGGGTGACCCCAAAAGTGCCACCAGCAGGTCTCAGGAGCACTGGGGTGACTCCAAAAGTGCCACCAGCAGGTCTCAGAAGCACTGGGGTGACCCCAAAAGTGCCACCAGCAGGTCTCAGGAGCACTGAGGTGACTCAGGGCCAATGCAGAGCTGAGTTTACCGTGAATTCAGAGGAAATTCCATGGCTGGAACCCCTTCATTTGTTTCCCTGACTGTTTCTTCTCTCTGGGTTTCAGATCTAGCAGGGCTCCAGGCTTTATTTGCCTTCAGACCTCTCTTTTTTTTCCCTCCAAGTGACCTGGTGCTCCAGCTGTGCAGGAGTCCAGACAGAGGCACGGCCCGTCCATGGAGAGCAGGAGGGTTTCTGTTTCCAAGTGAAACCGCTGCCATCTGGTTTCTGCAGCCATCATCCTTTCCATGATGCACACTCCCTGTCTCCCACCCAGCTCTCAGGCAGAGCAGGGGCTCCCAAAGATGGAGCTCTTGGCTTTTCCCAAGAAACCATGGTAGGCTCTGGGAAATTAGGACAGCAGAGTAAAAGGGAAATTTTTTTTTTTTTTTTTTTTTGTTGTTCCATGGAAAGTTGTCATGTTTCCTAAAGGAGAAATGGAAGAAAAAGGTATTTATTTCTTAAGCTGTCAGGGTGGACAGGAGATCAAGAGCTTCAACCAGCTCTGCTGCAGGGGAAAGATGGATTGAAATAGAGGGGATGTTTTCCCTCAGGTCTGAGGGGTTCCACTGCCCAAATGCAGAAGAATCTGACTGAGAAGCTTCTTGCCTCTTCTTTTCAGAGTCACAGACTTTCCTGGCTCTCACCTTCTGCTACGGAAACAAGTTCCATGCAGTCATTTTACGTGTCTGCCTCCACCCATGTGTCCCTGCAACTCCAAAATAAGCTTTGAAGCCTTGGCTGGACACCCTGTGGGGGAATGGAGATCCCAGAGAGGATTTTGGTGGTTCCTTGGAAAGGGAAGAGAAGAACTCTGCCCCCATGAAAGGGAATTTTTAGTGAGACACCACAAAAGAGCTCCCAAACACCCCACACAGTTTGGGAAGGCTTTGCAGGAGCTCCCTGCTCCCTGCACTGATTGCATGTTTTGGAGCTGGTTTTGGTGTCTCTGTGGGCCCAGAAGGTGTCAGAGTCACACAGCACCTTTGGAAAGGTCAGACACTCTCACCTGGCAGCTCTGAGCGCTCCTCCTTTGCTCTTGCAGCGAGTTCACAGCGAGTGTCTGCGAGAGAAAACCTTCTCCAGCACCTCCTACAGGCACTGGAAGCGATGGGGCAGCTCCTGTAGGGTCTGGGCACTGCTCTTGGCCCAGAAAATAACAAACCCCGTGTCTGCTCTCCTTGCAGGGGAAGCTGGACGCCCTCTGGGTGCTGCTGCGAAAGGGCTACGACCGCGTGTCCGTGATGCGTCCCCAGCCAGGAGACAAGGTACCCCCAGAGCAAAG